TGTATGGGATGGTCTCTGGGGGCTACTCCTTCTTGATGTTTGGACGCTAGAGTCCAACAAAGGCAAACTCAAGAGCCTCCCCCCAAGGCCTTACTCCCTCCCTTTCAGACTCTTGTTTCAACAGAACTCTCTCCTTCTGGTAGACATGGTTCCCATGCGTCATTAGGTGCACTAGAATGTTCTGTAAGGAGCTGGTGGTGAAGGAGGGACAGTCAGACATCTGCTGCCCCACAGCAAAAGGGGACTTGATGGCAGAACAGCTCCTCCGTTGAATCCATAGTGACAAAAGACAGTTTAGTGACCATCTGGGATTGGACCAGGAGTAGATTTGGTGGCGAGTGATGGGAAGGGTCGCAGTGGATTCCTTTGGGGTGTGGTCACAGAAGTGTGTAAAAGTGCCAAAGTCATCTCCGGCATGTTCAGAGTGCTCCTAGGAGGAGGGGGAGTGGAAAGGGAAAGGATCGAAATTATTATATTGTGTGTTTACAAAATAACAACAGGAAGCTGAGCAGTGCTGGCAGACACTTTTAATATTAGCACTCAGGAGGCGGAGGCAAGAGGATCTCTGAGGTCAAGGACAGCCTGGTCTATGTATCGAGCTCCAGAACAGCCAGGATTACATAGAGAGACCCTGTCTCCAAAAAACATAAAAAGTCAGGCAGTGGTGGTGCACACCGATAATCCCAGAGCTGGGAATCAGAGGCAGGTGGATCTCTGTGAGTTCAAGGCCAGCCTGGTCTGCGAGAGCTAGTTCTAAGACAGGCACCAAAGCTACAAAGAAACCCTGTCTTAAAAAACCAACCCCCCAAAAACAAAAGAAATAACTGGAGAGCTGGTTCATTGCACTCGCTGTTCTTCCCGAGACCTGAGTTCAGCTCCCAGCACCCTTAGCAGCAGGCTCAGAAACACCTAACTCCAGCTCTAGGGCATTGGATGCCCTCCTGTGTGTTAAGTTGGGAGCGTAGACCCCAGCCCCTTGCATGTATCCCAGCCTCCAGGCCTGAGAGTTTGTATTGGTCTGGACTCCAAATCCCAGCAGGCCAGGTCCTGACCCCTCCCTGGGGGTGGGGGGAGGTCAGGACCACTCCCAAGAGTATTTAAATGAACTCTCAGAAGAGGAACGTGTGGTCTCTTTTCCTTCCTCCTGGGGGTCGCCTTTGTGTCCCCTCAGGGCCACCCAAGAGTGCAGGACTCCCATTAAACCTGGATATTTTTAATTTGGCTTGTTTTGATTTGGCTTGATTGGGATTTTGTGTCGGCAGAGAGCTTATGTTAGGAAAATATTCCTAACACTGTGGACTCCTCGGGTTCCCTGCACACGTGGCACACACCCACATTGACACATACCCACGGGGCACACACCCACATGGACACATACACATGGGGCACACACCCACACGGACACATACCCATGTGGCACACACCCACACGGACACATACCCACGTGGCACACGCCCACATGGACACATACAAATAAGAACCATTAAAAACTTTTCCCTAAAATTTACTTTTTAAACGAAATGCCAACAAGAAAAAAGTCTAGATATGTTTAGTATAGACACATTTTTTTTTTTCCTGAAAATTTTTGTCCCTGGCTGACTGCCTAGAGGAAGAGCCCACAGACATGGATAAGGGGTCGGGTGACTGGCTTGGAGGTAGAATCTTGCGTAATGTTTGCAAGTCCTGGTTCAGTCTACATTACCCCAAAACAGAGAAAAACAAGAATAAGAAAATGTATAACTATTACTGCGTGAAAATCATATATCAGCGGTAAAACACCACAGACAGCCAGAACTATAGTCAGCAGGGCCCAAGTCTGTGAGCATCCGGAGGAGCACACGGCTCTCCAGAGCTTTCTTGGGGTAACGGGTCTGGTCACAGGCCAGGGCCTAAGGTTTAGTTCATCTCAGTCCAGGGCTGCCAGCATTCTGTCTCTGGTTGTCTGATGAACTCAGAGGCTGGGAAAGCCTTTCTTTAAATCCCTTCCCCATAGGGACACTGAGAGTCTCCTAGATTTTTGTCTCCGCTTACTGGGTAGTCTAAGAAACAAAGAACATACCAACCCGTTTTGGCTACTGGCAGTGCCTATAAAATAAACATGATTAGAAAGGCCAGGGACCACCAAGACACTAAAGAAATGGTCCACAAAGCCTCCCCTCCCCTGCCTCCACCCCCATTTCAGCCTCAACAGAACCCCATGCCCCCACCCCGCTTCCCAAGCTGGGTGGGGTATAGCACAGTCCTGTTTGGGTGATATTTATATAAGAAGCTGGGTTCTTCCCTGGGGCAAGTAAAGTCAGTTGTAAAATTTGAAGGTGCGTTTTAAAATTGTTTCAAATCCTCCAGTGTGTTTCCTGTCTGGCGCTGTATATAGGCATTGGTAATGCATGTGTCTGTGTGGCCTGGAGGTCCTGTTAATGAGAGAGGTAGAGAAGTGAGGGCCCCAAACATTCAAACACGGGGTGGGGGAGACCCTGTTGTTGATGAGGGTGTGCCTCGTGGTGTTGGAATGCCTGTAAAGGCCTCACCCTTGGGAGGGCGCTTAGTCCGAGAAATGAGCATCTTTGAAAAGCCACTATATTATAAATCATCAGTTAATGGCCTGGGGGCACAGGGATCCAGGTCTGTTGTTTTGTGTGATACTGTCGGACAACACATCCTAACTAACCTGTAATTTGACAGGCAAGATAAGGAGATGTGTGGTCCCCATCACACAGACCTGTGTCCATCCAGTTTGCCTGGAATGTCTTCCCCAGAGATAAAATTCCAGCTCCTCGCTCTCACTTGGCTTCCTACCACACCACGCAGTGGGAGTCACTCCTTCTTTGGCCCGGTGACATTTCGTCCCTTCTCTTCTGAAATGTAACTGAGCGAGGTATTTCAGGCTCTGAGGAGCAAAAACAGCCTTTCTTGGCTATTGTGTTCCGTTCGGTAAACGCCATCACATTGAGGCTGTTTTAAAAACAATTTCATGCTCTTAACTTTGCAGTGTTTCATGTAATTACTTTAGATTTAGAGCTGGTGAGACAGGGCCGTCAAGGTGATTCAGCAGGGAAAGGGCCTTGTCATCCAGACCTTGGAACCCACGTGGTAGGAGGAGAGGACTGACTTGAAGTTGTCCCTTTACTCCCCTCCCCCAGTGCCTACCCACAGACACTCACATGCATGCATGCGCGTGCATGGAACACACACACAATGTAAAACGGGAATATGATGAGACTGAAACTTTCATTTGAAGGAAATGAGGCTTTAGTTCTGTTTATAACTTCTGTTACATTATCTGCTTGGGGACCACATTTGTGTGGGATAGGCTTGTCTTTATTGTGACATTTCCTGGCCTTTGTTAATGAGGGATGTTGATGGGCACTCTTCCTATAGCTGTGGAACATGAAACTGAAATACAGAAAAATACTGATGCAGATGAATAATTCAGTCATCCAAGACACAGCCTGCTTCAGCGGGAATTCAAGAGTGTGCATCTGTAATTGTTGCTCTTATGATCAGCTATGGAGAACGAGTTCCAAAAGAGAGGGAAGAAAAGAGAAAAGTGCGGTCGTGGTATTGTTCAGTACGACTGTGCTGAAGGGACCTGGGCAGGTGCCCTCGTGCTCATGGGCTCTCATGTCCTCTCTGCCTTGCTCTCCAGGTCATGGGTAGTAGACGAAACAGGCGCTCAGGAGCTGAGTCCTGGGTCTCCCTCGCCTGTAAAGAGCCAGGAAGGACCCCTCAGGAGGCTGCTGATACTCTTGTAAACTGCCCAGCTTGGCAGCTGGCAGGTATGTACCCACGGCGTTAGCTCTGGCTCAGCCAAGAGTTCCCACCACTCTCTCCTGAGGGCCTATCCACGCAGCCAGTTCTTTAAGTTTAGCCTGCACTGCCACATAGAATTGTGGGATACTCAGTTGAGTCTGAATTTCAGATAAACAATAAGAAATGTTCTAGTATAAATATGTTTGATGTAATATTTGAAATATATATCCACATATATTTACATATTTTACATTTAATTAATTAATTTATTTGTGTGTTTGTGTCAGAGTATGTATGTGGAGGCCAAAAGACAACTTTCTAGTCGGGCCTAGTGGCATACCCTTTAATTCCAGCACTGGGAGGCAGAGGCAGGGGGGTCTCTGTGTTTTCAAAGCCAGTCTGGTTTGCGAGGACAGCTACGGTTTTGTAGAACCTGTCTCAGAAAACACAACAGTGAGCAGGACATTGGTGGCACAGGCCTTTGGTTCCAGCCCTGAGACGGCGAAGGGGGGCAGAGCTCTGAGCTTTTGAGGCCAATCTGGTCTAGAAAGAGAGTTCCATGACAGCCAGGGCTACATAGAGAAGCCCTAGCTCAAAACAAACAAACAAAACAAAAAAACAATGCCAGACAGTAGTGGGCACACCTTTAATTCCAGCACTCGAGGGGAGGCCGAGGCAGGCAGATCTCTGAGTTTGAGGCCAGCCTGGTCTACAGCGGGAGTTCCAGGACCACCAAGGCCATCCAAAGAAACCCTGGCTCAAAAGAACAAAAATCAAAACAAAGGACCACTTCCAGGAGTCAGCTGAGGTCGTCAGGTTTGGTGTCAAGCCCCTTCCTGCTGAGCCATCTCACTGGCCCCTACTTTAAATTAGAACAAATAAACAAACATTGTCCACTTGAAACCCCCCCAGGAGTTCTGCAGGCTGCCCTCTACGACGACAGCTTGATAATAGCCACGTGGCCTGAACTCCTGTGGCCTTCGTGATTCAACATTTTATCGACATCCCAGGAGCAGGAACACTTTCCCTTATTAGTGACAATAACTATGACCAATTGTTGATCGTCTATGATCTGCCAGGCACGTAGGCACGTCACACAGTCCCTGAAGTGACCCCAACAGCTAGAGTTAATGTCCTCATGGAGACACTGGAGGGCCAGTGCCATGCAGTTGGCATCATCCTCCAGGCTCAAGGTTTCAGGACAAGATCCCAAAGCCCACAGAGCTGCTCCTGGCAGGCCGTGACTCTGATGGCCTCTGCCAGGGCTCACACAGTGGCATATGCCCAACTCTGTGGTCATGAAGTCTCACAGGACAATAATACCTGAAGGTGCTCCTTTCCAGAAAAGAAATCCTAGCAGCAGAGCTGGTTTAGAGGCTGTGGCATTGACATCTCTTCCAAAAGTCCTAAGCCATGTTGCGGCAAAGAGGTGAGTTTTAGACCAACAAGGAAGTTTCTAAGCTGTAGAAGTTTCTGGAGCTTGTTTGCTTTCTCATGTGAACTCTGGCACTGCTGATCAAAAGTCTTGTGAAACTGGTCCCCGAACAAAGTCCTCCTGGACACGGCTTGGGATGTGTGTGGCGTGATGTGTGACGTAGAGTGCTCATGCCGCATGGCAGAGCTGCCCTCACACGCCTTTGGGCTTCGCTGGTTTAAGATTAGGAGCCGTGAGGATGAAGCTGTGGCCCTCTTTCAAGAGGACATAAGTCATTGAAATATTTAACCAGTACTTTCTGGAACTTTTCTTGTTTTGTTTTGTTATAGGAAGGGTCATATTCTGCAATTTAGACTCCCATGAACCTCGCTAGGTAGGTCAGGCTGGCCTCCATCCTCAGCCTGCTAAGCATTAGAATTATAGGAATGAACCACTATTTTTTTCCTTTTCCTTCTTTCCTTTCTTCCTCTTTTCCTCCTTTTTTTTTATGTGATGTTGCAGATGGAACAGACCCTTATGAATGCTAGGCAAGCAATCTATACTAGCTCTATTTCTAGTCCCCTAATTAAAATAAAATCATTTTTTTTGTTTTTTTTTTTGTTTTGTTTTGTTTTGTTTTTCGAGACAGGGTTTCTCTGTGGTTTTGGAGCCTGTCCTGGAACTAGCTCTTGTAGACCAGCTGGCCTCGAATTCCCAGAGATCCACCTGCCTCTGCCTCCCTAGTACTGGGATTAAAGGCATGTGCCACCACCTCCAGGCAAAATAAAATCTTTTTAAGTTGCCTATGCTGGCCTCCTCCTTGAGACGCTCTTCAGTTTTTGGTTGAAGGGATTACAGGTTTAGGCCTCCTCGGCAGACTAATCCCAGTCTTTATTCGGTGGCTATCTGTTGTCACCCTGTCACAAAGGATGTAGGCCCGAGCGCTCATGCATCCTGGACTGGGAGGTTTATCGTAACCAAATGGGAATTTGGTTCTTTCTGTTGTCTGGACCTCAGCTGTCCTGATAATGTCACTTCCTGCTTTATGCCTGGAAGCATGCACAGATGCTGTTAGCTCCAGGGTAGACAGAAGTCTCAGGGCTGGGCAGACTGGATACAGTTGTGGAGATGCCAGAGTTTGGGGGCAGTTTTCTTTTGGGGTATGGCTACTTTTCAAATCCCTCTTCTATCTCTCCATGCTGAAGACAGAACCTAAGGTCTCAAGCTTGCTAGACAAAGGTTCACCCTCTGCCTGCATCTCCAGCTGGTTTTTGACTGTTTTGTCTATGTTGTGTTTTGGGAGGTGATTCCTGTAGCCCAGGCTGGTCTCAAAGTTGCTATGTAGTGGAGGATATCCCTGAACATCTGATACTCTTGCCTTCACCTCTAAAAGTACTTGGATTACAGATGTGGACCCAGTTTGGTCTCCTCTCCTCTCCTCTCCTCTCCTCTCCTCTCCTCTCCTCTCCCTCCCTCCCTCCTTGTTTCTTTCCTTCCTTTCTTTCTTTTTTTCTTCTTTCTTTTTGGTTTTTCAAGACAGGGTTTCTCTGTGTAGCCCTGGCTGTCCTGGAACTCACTCTGTACACCAGGCTGGCCTCAAACTCAGATCATCCTGCCTCCGCCTCTCTAGTGCTGAAATTAAAAGTGTGTGCCACCACCGTTAGTCTCTATTTTTTAGAATTTTATCTCGTTACTCTTGAGTGTGTGTATGATGTGGGGGATAGTGACAGTGCACGTGGGGAAGTTGGAGGACAAGTTGTGGGGTCAGTTCTTGCCCTCCCTCTTTCTGTGGATTGCCACCCTAATCTATGTGTTTCTGAGGAGCTGGTCTGCAAGGTTTGGAGAGACTAAGGAGGACCAGCCTGTCCTCACTGCACCTTATTGTACCCCATCCCAGAGTGGGGGCCAGCTGGCCTAAAAGCCTTTGCAGGTCTTCCTTGTACATGGAGCTCTGGTCTGATCTGAGTGTGGGTCTGTGTGTGGACTTTGGCTCTTCGGCTGTTTGTGGTGACACTCCAAAGACTCGGGGGACTAGGATGGGGTTAACCACCTGAATGTGACTGAAACTCCCCTGTGGACAGCAGCACCGCTCACTGAGAGAGGAGAGAAGAGAGCACAGCACACTCGGCGTCCCTGAGTCCTGAGAGATTGGCAGCAGATGTGGGTGGAGACATTTCTGGAGAGAGGAGGTAGCTCCAAGATGAAAAGTTCAGCCAACAGTGAGTATGCCAGCTTCCTCCGATGCCAGGGAATGCTAAGGGTTCCAGAGGCGTGGGGCTAAGGGTTTGAGGCGGGGTATAGCCCAGGCTCGAACTGGGAATGGGCCGGGTTTGGGAGGAGGGGTGTGAGGGCAGTCAGGGTCTCAGTCTTTCCTGACCCTCCAGAAGCTAAGCAGCTACATCCCACACCAGCTTTCTGGATCTCTACTGACTGGTCACGTGCCAGCCTCAGCAGGTTTGCTCTCCAAACATTAGGCCAGAAAGTTCTCCCTAGGTTACAACATGTGTCTCATTCGGATGGATTACCACTGGGGTTTCCTTTCTGAAGGCTTGAGAAGGCTCACAACAGCCAGTGCACAAAGCTACAGACAGGCTGTTGTACATCATCTGATTTTTTTTTACCTTTTTCCTTTCTTTCTTCCTTCCCTCCTTCCTTCTTTTCTCTTTATTTTTTTTAAAGGAAAGGAAGTTTTTTTTTTAAAGATTTATTTATTTATTATGTATACAACATTCTGCCTCCATGTATGCCCGCACACCAGAGGAGGGCGCCATATCTCATTACAGATGGTTGTGAGCTACCATGTGGTTGCTGGGAATTGAGCTCAGGACCTCTGGAAGAGCAGTCAGTGCTCTTAACCAATGAGCCATCTCTCCAGCCCCTATTTTTTTTTCTTTGATACAGAGTTTCTCTGTGTAACAGTTCCGGCTGTCCTGGAACTTGCTCTGTGTACCAGGCTGACCTTGAACTCAGAGATCCACTTGCCTCTGCTTCCCGAGTGCTGGGATTAAATGTGTACACCACCACGCCAGCTACACCTTTTTATTCTTTGTTTCTATCTTTCCTGTCTTTCCTTTTTTGCAAAGAATTAGTGCCTATTGTATACCAGGCAAAAAGCTTGCATTCTGGGGAGGGTGCAGGCACAAAGCCGTCTGTGTACACCATCCCTCATCGGTTCTGTGCCTCGTGTTTACTTGTGGATTGACAGCAGGGGACAGGCAAACATTTGAAGTCCCTAAGGGGAAAAATATATCAAAACACACAGGGGCCAGTGTGAGAGCTCAGTGGGTAAGGAAGACCCCAATGATCTGAGCTTGATCTCCAGGACGTACTTGGTGGAAGGAGAGAACCAGTTTCCACAAGCTGTGCTCTGACCTGTGCTGTTCACACGTTTCTACCCATGGGAAGTAAACGTAACAACAACAATAACACACATACACTCACTCACACACAATAACACACACACACTCACACACAGGAGCCAAAAAGAAAGAGAAGTGGGGCTGGAAAGTTGCCTGAGGAGTTAAAAGACCGGAGTTTGGATCCTAGCTTCACAGAGGGGAAGTTCACAAATGCTCATAACACATATGAGTGACCCACCTCCTTCTTCTGGCCTCCAAGGTCACTGTGGTCACATGTGCACCCTGCCTCCCCAACCCTATCCACAAACACATACTACAAATGTCAATAAAATCTAGAAAGAAAGGAAGAAAGGAAGAAAGAAAGAAAGAAAGAAAGGAAGGAAGGAAGGAAGATAGGAAGAGAAGCCAGGTATGGTGATGCTTTCCTGTACCTGCCCCTGGGAGGATCAGAAGTTCCAGACCACTGAGAGAGCTCCTTCAGCCAATAGCCTTTAAGATAGCCCAACATGGCTCTAGCCAGTACCTCCACCTGAGGCTAGACTCTCAGAAAGTTAAGGAATGGGGTGGATCCAGCGTCAAAGCCAGTGCTTTAATCCTAGCCATGCTGCTTAGCAGATTAAAGACTTGTGTGATCGCAAAAAGAGAGAGATACAATAAAGATAGATTCAGACAAAAAAAACCCAACTCTAAACAGTTTACAGTGTATTTAAAATATATGTAGGCTTGGGAGAGAAAAGAAAAAGGATAAAGCCTTTAAAAAAAGAAAGAAAGGGGCTGGAGAGATGGCTCAAAGGTTAAGAGCACTGGCCGTTCTTCCAGAGGACCTGTGTTCAATTCCCAGCAACCACATGGTGGCTCACAACCATCTGTAATGAGATCCGGTGTCCTCTTCTGGTGTGTTTTATACAGGGACGCAGAATGTTGTATACATAATAAATAAATCTTTAAAAAAAATATTAGTGCCCCCAATCAGCAGGAAATAGCCTAGAAAACTATGCCTAACACTCCCAAAAAATGGATTATGGATGTTTGTCTTTGTTTAGAGTGTTGGTTACAAGTTGCTATGAATAATGGTCAGGAAAAAAGCTAAACAAAGGAGATTAGACTCAGAGTTCTCGTTGTGAAAAACAAAAGCGGGGGAGGGAAGTGCTGTGGGACAACGCTCTTGTACCCTGTAAAGATCTGTCAGTTGAGCCGGGCGGTGGTGGCGCACGCCTTTAATCCCAGCACTCGGGAGGCAGAGGCAGGCGGATCTCTGTGAGTTCGAGGCCAGCCTGGTCTACAAGAGCTAGTTCCAGGACAGGAACCAAAAGCTACGGAGAAACCCTGTCTCAAAAAATCAAAAAAAAAAAAAAAAAAAAAAAGATCTGTCAGTTGTATTGGTTTAATAAAATGCTGATTGCCGGGCGGTGGTGGCGCACGCCTTTAATCCTAGCACTCGAGAGGCAGAGGCAGGCGGATCTCTGTGAGTTCGAGGCCAGCCTGGTCTACAAGAGCTAGTTCCAGGACAGGAACCAAAAGCTACGGAGAAACCCTGTCTCGAAAAATCAAAATAAATAAATAAATAAATAAATAAATAAAGTGCTGATTGGCCAGTAGCCAGGCAGGAAGTATTGGCGGGGTGACCAGAACAGGAGAATTCTAGGAAGAGGGAAGGCTCAGTCTGCAGTCGCTACCCAGATGCAGAGAAAGCAAGATGTAACTGCCTCACTGATAAAAGATACCAGGCCACGTGGCTAACACAGACTAGAATTATGGGTTAATGTATGATGTAAGAGTTAGTTAATAGCCGGGCGGTGGTGGCGCACGCCTTTAATCCCAGCACTTGGGAGGTAGAGGCAGGCGGATCTCTGTGAGTTCGAGACCAGCCTGTTCTACAAGAGCTAGTTCCAGGACAGGCTCCAAAACCACAGAGAAACCCTGTCTCGAAAAACCAAAAAAAAAAAAAAAAAAAGAGTTAGTTAATAAGAAAGCCTGAGTTAATAGACCAACCAGTTTATAATTAATAATAATAGACTTCTGTGTGTTTCTTTGGGACTGAACAGCTGTGGGACAGGGTGGGACAGAAACCTCTGTCAACATAAGACCCTGTCTCAACCAAACCAACCAAACCAAAACAAACCAAACAGAACACAAAGAGCAGAGGCAGGGGGATAGCCAGTCAAGTGCTTACAGTGAAAGCATGGAGACATCATAAAAGCCAGGCACTGTGGAACGCACATACAATCCCAGCACCAACGAAGCAGAAATAAGAGGATCCCTGGACCTCACTAGCCAGTCGGCCTTGCCTAACACGTGTCTGTGTGTCTTTCTTCATCCCTTAGTCCCCTGTCAGAGTCTCAGGAGCCAAGTCATCCCGGACACAGCAGGCATGTGATGTTGACCTGTAGCCTCTGTGAGCACACATACCTATATACACATATGAATACATACATGTATCAAATATACACATACACATGAACATAAAAACAGGCCTGGGAGATGGCCCAGTGGATAAAGCATGAGACCCAGGTTAAGATCCCTAGAACCTGCTTAAATAATAGATAGGCCTGGCAGCCACCTGGAACTCCATGTTCTCAGGAAGCAGAGGCAAGGATCCCTGCAGTGAGCTGACTGGCAAGACTAACCATATTGACAAGCTCTGCTCAGTGGAGAATCAGCCTTGGGTCTCTACACTCACCTGCACACACGCACAAACACATGTGTGAACATGCATACTTACATGTATACATGCTACACATGCACACTAAGCAGAAAAGAAAAATAATTAGAATGAGAGGCTTGTGTGGAGGGTCAGTGCTGTGCACCTCTGTGCCGTTGGAAGCTGCCCTTTCATGTGTGCCCTGCAAGACAGTAAACATGAAAAGCAGGGGACACGGGAAGGGTGACAGGATTCCTAGGAACTGACAGGATTTTTACTATTTACTTATTTATTTTTTGTTGCAGTTTATTTGAGGGTGGCGGATGATCTACAGCAAGAGCGTGGAGGTCGGAGGACGACTTCTGGGAGTCAGTCCTCTCCTTCCACCGCGTGGGTCATGGAGATCAACCTCAGGTCACCAAACTTCGGCAGCAAGCTCCGTTATCTGCTGAGCCACCCCGCCAGCCTAATAGGAAATTTTAAACACATAAAACAAATAATCCAAGCAAATTACAAACTTAAATTCTTTGTTTTTTAACCGCTGGGACTGGGGACTGGACCAAGTACTCTACATGCTGGGTAAACGCTGTACCACTCAGCCACGCCCCCAGCCCCCACACGAGTGTGTATGTGGGACCAGAGACTCGGGGGATCGAACCTAGGGCCCCACATGACAGGGAGACTCGGGGGATCGAACCTAGGGCCCCACATGACAGGCAAGTGCTCTACTAGTACAATACAACTCCTACTTGCTTTTTGCGTTTTTTCCCCCCTCATTTAGGTTGTAATAGGGTCCCAGCAAATCGCCCAGACTGTCCTTGAACTCATTCTTTTTTTAAAAAACAATGATTTATTTATTTTTATTTTATGTGCATTGGTTTTTTTGCCTGCATTCATGTCTGTGTGAGATTGTCAGATCCCCTGGAGACGGAGCTACAGGCAGTTGTGAGCTGCCATGTGGGTGCTGGGAACCAAATCCAGGTCCTCTGGAAGAGCAGCCAGAGCTCTCAACCACTGTGCCATCTCTCCAGTCCTCATTGAACTCTATCCCAGCAATCAGATATTCTCTTGCCGCCACCTCCTGAACAATCGGGACAACTGTCTTGAGCCACGAGGTTTGGCTCCTAACAGGAAATACACTCACCTGGTTCAGAGCAGTACCAGGCTCTGTGTGGCACCCATCTTTAATCCCAGCACTCAGGCAGGAGGATCTCTGTGAGTTTGAGGCCAGCCTGGTCTACAGAGTGAGTTCTAGGCCAGCCAGTGCTACACAGTGAGGTCATGTCTCAATAAAAAAGGGATGGTGGGTGGAGACATGGGTCAGCACCCTTGGGTGGCTCACAATCGTCAGTAACTCCAGTTCTTCGGGATCCAGTGCCCTCTTCTGGCCTTCCCAGGCTTTAGGCACACATGTGATCCGCTGGCATATATGTAGGCATAACACCCATACACAGAAATAAAACCAAATTAAAAAGATAAATCCCAAACAAACAAAACAGAACAAAAGACTCAAACTATTTTAAAAAGTAAAGTAGCTGGGAATACATCACCTCCTCCAGACAGTTGTGTGTGTGTGTGAGTGAGTGAGAGAGAGAGAGAGAGAGAGAGAGAGAGTAAAAGAAACTATAACCAAATTTATCATCTTCACATTTTCTCCTTGAACTAAAGCATGAAGCTTAGCAGAGTTGATTGTGTGCACACAGTTGACCTGGAGGGACAAGCCCTTGTTTTTCTTACATATTTTGTACGTTATTCTCCTGTGTACTGTTTTCAAAGTCTCCTCTCGAGGTCCTTCTGTGGAGAACTTCCGCTGTGCAGACAGCCCTCCAGAGAAGGACTCTCTCCTGGTGAATGGGTGTCACAGTGAATCAGGAAACACACTCGCATTGCTCATGTGCGGGAGCACAGGCGAAGGGCAGCCTCTTCAGAGCCGGAGTGCTGGGCTGCAGGGAGACGCCTGGATAACTGTGCTTGCTGTCTCCCAGTCTCTCTTCCTGTGAGTTTGACTGCGGAGTTTCCCCCACTGGCAATGCAGGAAAATGCCTGTTCCCTAAAGCCACATCAACAGACTGTGTTGTAAACTTTTGGGTTTTTGCCAAGCTGATAAAAGAGAAATGCTGTCTCGATGTAGTTTTAATTTTCACTTATCTTCTGGATGGGGTTGAGCATCTTTTTAAAAATTTAAAAGCCATTTGCATTTCCTTTCTATGAACTGTTCATAGTCTCTGGCCACCTCTCTTGGGTTGCTGGTCCTTCCGGTTAATTACTGGCTCCAAGCAAAAGAAAACGCTGGAAAAGAAATAGAATGAATCATAGAACAACACAGGGCTGCACTGTGAATAGCGGTTACAGCTTCACAACCAGCTAAGCACACAGGATAACACGGAATAACATAGAATCATAGAAAAGCATAGGGCTGGACTGTGAATAGCGGTTACAGCTTCACAACCAGCTAAGCACATAGGATAACACGGAATAACATAGAATCATAGAAAAGCATAGGGCTGGACGGTGACTAGTAGTTACAGCTTCACAACCAGCTAAGCACATAGGATAACACGGAATAACATAGAATCATAGAAAAGCATAGAGCTGGACGGTGACTAGTAGTTACAGCTTCACAACCAGCTAAACGCTAAATGTTGATTTAACCAAAATTTTCATTTAATTCTCTTGGGAGGGTATGTGTGTCCCTGCACCAGGTTGGGGTAAGACATAGGAAACCAAACCCTCACTTTCTGTGGGGAAGGCATAAATCTAGCACAAACAGCATCACTCTGGCGTGTGGCTCTGGACATATGAAGGTGTGTGGAAGACAGTCCCCTGGTGGCCCTGTGGCTCCTTCTGAAGTGGGATTGGGGGCTATGGAGGGTGTTACAGGAGCTGTGTTTGTTTTGTTTTGTTTCCTTTAGCAGTTCTGAGGACTGAAGAGCGGGCCCTGCACAGCAGAGGGCAGTACCCTCCCACTGAGCTATGCCCTCAACACACAGGAGCTAAGGGTTTCCATCAAAGTTGTTTAGCCCATTTAACTTTGTAAAACTATCACTGTGGTCTAATAAAATTAACTATAGACAATTAAAGGGGATGATATGTACATTGCAATATAAGGCCTCCCTGTGTTAAAGAGGGGATATCATAAAATCTAATATACAGGAGTGGGTTTTGGGATTTGGTTTTTGTGGTACTGGGAATGGAATCCAGAGCCTAACATGTGTGGGGCAACTATTTTACCACCGAGCCATGGCCTAGGTTCTACAAGGGGGCTTTGTGCTAGTGACCATAGCATGGAATTAAAAGAAGCCTCACAAAGTCTCCTTTCTTTTTCTGTTTTTCTTCTTCTATTTTTTTTTCCAGACAGGGTCTTGCCATGTAGCCCTGACTATCCTGAATCTTGCTTTGTAGACCAGGCTGGCCCCAAACTCACAGAGATCCGCCTGCCTCTGCCTCCCGAGTGCTAAGATTAAAGGCGTGCGCCACCACACCTGCCTTCTTTCTTTCTTTTTTTTTTAAATATTTGTTTTTATTATTTAAATTATGTGTAGGTGTGTGTCTGCATTTGAGTGTAAGCTCATGAATGCAGGAACCCGCAGAAGCCAGAAGCATTGAATACCCTGGAGCTAGAGTTATGGTGGTTACAGGAGTTGCGGGATGTGGGTGTTGGGAACTGAACCCAGGTCCTTTGGAAGGGCAGCAAGTGCTTCTTTTTGTTTGTTTGTTTTATTTTGCTTTGTTTTTCAAGACAGTGTTTCTTTGTGTAACAGCTCTGGCTGTCCTGGGACTCTCTTTGTAGACCAGGTTGGCTTTGAACTCACAGAGATCTGTCTGCCTCTGCCTACACACCTGGCATATAGCCTGTGCTCTTAATGGCTAAGCCATCTCTAACCCTTAGGATATATATATGTGTGTGTGTGTGTGTGTGTGTCTGTGTGTGTCTCTGTGTGTGTGTCTGTGTGTCTCTGTGTGTGTGTGTCTCTGTGTGTGTATGTCTGTGTGTGTGTGTGTCTGTGTGTGTGTGTGTGTCTGTGTGTGTGTATGTTGGGGCAGTCTGTGAACTATATCCCTAGCCTTTAGTTTTTTGGACAAAGTCTCATCATGTAGCCTAGGATTTCCTCCAATACACTATGTAGCTGAGGCTGGCCTTGAACTTAAAATCCTCTCCCTTTAGGGCTGGAGAGATGGCTCAGTGGTTAAGAGCATTGCCTGCTCTTCCAAAGGTCCTGAGTTCAATTCCCAGCAACCACATGGTGGCTCACAACCATCTGTAATGAGGTCTGGTGCCCTCTTCTGGCCTGCAGACATACACACAGACAGAATATTGTATGCATAATAAATAAATAATTTAAAAAAAAATCCTCTCCCTTTAGCCTGTGTGCTGGGACTACGTGCATAGGCTGCCATGCTGGGCTCCTGCAAGGCTGTTTTGAAAAGCAAATAACGCTGGAGAGATGGCTCAGCAGTTAAGAGCACTCTCTGCTCTTCCAGCAGACCTGGGTTCAGTTCCCAGCACCCACATGGCAGCTCACACCTGTCTGTAACTCCAGTTCCAGGAATCTGACACCCTCATACAGACAAATACAGGCGAAACATCATTGGTCATAAAACAAAGATAAATTAAAAAAAAAAAGAAAAGCATGTAAAGTCATAGTCCTGTTGGAGGACAGACTTCCAAAACCAAAGGATGACTCTGAGTGTGTTGTTTTGATTTTGGTTGATTTTTAAGCAGGGTCTCATTCTGTAGCCCTGGCTGGCCTGGATTGTTATGTAGACCAAGATAGTCTTTAACTAACAGAGATCTATTTGCCTCTGCCTCCTGAATGCTAGGATAAAGGCGTGCTCCACTTACCCAGACTAGAGTTTTCTTTAAAGAAAGTATTTATTGATTCTCTGCGTATGTGTGTGAGTCTGAGTGTCTATATGTGCACCACGTGAAAGTCAGAAGCAGGTATCAGGTCCCCTAGCTGTCGTTACAGAGGTTGGGAGGTACCACGTGGGTGCTGGGCATCGAGCAGGTCTTCTGCGAGAGTCCTAAGTGTTCTTAATCTCTAAGCCGTTTATGTAGTCCCATATTCGCTGTGGTTTTGTTTAGGTTTTGACACTGAGGGTTATGCCTCAGGCCTCATGCTCTCTCACTTTCCCCAATCCATACCCCAGTCCGCAGACCTTTGGATTCTGGCCTGATGGAGTACCACAACCATTGTCTTCTCTGCTGCCTTAAATAACTAAAAACATAGCCTGGCAGTGATGGCACACACCTTTAATTCCAGGAGGAAGAGGCAGTCAGATCTCTGTGAGTTCAAGGTCAGCCAGGGCTACATAGAGAAACCCTGTCCCCAAACCCCCAAAACATTAAAGAGCAAGTAACAGACCCCGTGAAGCTCTGATAATCAGGAGAGGGCAAAAGTGAGTGACCGGAGCCCCAAGACTGCCCAGGTTCTCAGGTGGAGCTACCAGGCTCGGGGTAGGAAGCACAGCCTGCTGGTCTCTCAGAGTGAAGGCTGGA